AACCCATGCAACGATACTTTTCCTCCATCAGAACCAAAAGAGAGTCTTCTCAGAGCACAATACTGCAAAGTGTATATATCCTGTGATGCTCTGAATAGCTTTTTAGAAGTTCAGTAGCCTACACTGTATTTTTAAAACAAGTGTTTGTAGGGTCGGTTTTCCTGGCAGTGAAGTGATTCATATTTAATTTTTTGAGAACACTGGAACCATCAACACATTTGTACTACATTAACATAGAGCAAATTGGTGTACTTGCAGAGTACAAAATTTGCAAAATCTGGTCAGACTGGTTTCTGAAAGGGGAGAGAGGTCTCTGTTGAAGTGATAAACACTAGAACACTATTAAGACAACATTAAGAGTGATGTTTTCAGAGAAGCTTAAGCAATCTGGTCACTCAAAACGAAACAGAACAAAACAACAGAGGAGAAAAAACAGGCAACAACAACAAAAAAAAATAAAAGAAAAACCCCAACGAACAAAAAACAAACAAACAAAAAAGCAAGCTTCCAGCGAATGAAAAAGGCACTTGTGTCAAATCTAATTGTGAAATTATACACAAAAGGAAGAACCTAAGTTCCTTCAAGAACCTCGAGTCATCTAAAATGTTTTAACAGTTCTAAATGCAACGCCTTTATTTTTATAACAGATGGATGTTAATACTGAAGTGTGTTTTCTATTAAAAAACCCAGTTTCAGCTCCCTGCTCCCCAGCTGATCCAGAATGGAAACAATCCATCTTAGCATTAACGTCAAGTCTCTTGTTTTGGCAGAAGTTTTTATTTACTATTGCATTTTTTTGCAGACATTACAGGCTTTGATGTGGATAATTTCTTTCAGGATACATATTCACTGCAGAATTATCTACGTTCAAGCTGCTCGAAAGCCTCTCAACCACAAAATAATTGCTGTAGCCACTTCCGTGTGCTGCTAAGATTTCCTGGGGTGCACACATGGGATTTTTTTTTTTTTTAAAACACTGGAGAACTAACAGCACTTGACTGCTGGCACAGCAATGGGAGTGTGTAACTTGAGTTTTAACCTATAAATCTGATGGGGCAACCACTAGAGTTAAGAGGGTTTGTGAATGGCTCCGACTTGACTTCGGGGTGATGTTCAACTTAGAGCTCAAAGGAGCTTTTCTCCAGGGAATGCACCTTTTGTGTTGGGCTGGGATAAGGAGAGCACTGAGCAAAGAGCTAGCTGCCAATAAAGCAACTTCCTCAGGAAGCAGGGTAGGCAATGGTGATGTCAAAACTACTTATGAACACTGGACTAAAAAATGTGTTACATTTTTCAGAGCCAAGTAGTCCGAGCCTGTCACATCTGTATATTTTGAAAAGACGAAGCTTTGTTGTGAGTCTGTTCTCCCATGCACTCAAGTTCTTCTGCCTGAAAAGCAGCTCAGAGTTGTGGCCAGTGTCCATACTAGAGCTATGGTACCACCCCCCAAACTAGGGGAAATTACCCCGAGAGCACCAGAGCAGGAGGAAAGACACAGAGAGGTTGCAAGAACAGGATGCTTTGGCAAGGGGCCTCAGGTTAAGATTTATGGGCAACCTCTTTAAAATAAAGCCATAACATACAAAAAACCCACATAAAATATATATAAATCCATACCATAGCACACCTATATTACAGAGTTCCTCTTCTGGATGAAGAAAATGATGGGCACACATATATGAATGTTACGAGAGAGGAGTTTGCCCTTGGCAGCCAGATACCTAAGTAGAAGTGGGGCCAGATGGGAAGATTCACAAGTGCGGTTGATGTTTCTGTAACCACTAATGAATGAGCCTTTGAATGAAAAATAATAATTTTAAAAAATATGCAATGAAGAAACTTCCAGAAATGTAAAAAGTAAAAGATGTTTAAAAAACTTTCAAAAGCGGGAAACATCAAAACTCATCTACCTAGATTTGTGCAAGGGGTTTGACACTGTCCCACATGACATCCTGGTCTCCAAACTGGCAAGGCATGGATTTGACAGACGGACCACCCGGTGGGTAAGAGATTGGCTGGATGGCTGCACCCAGAGAGTTGTGGTCAATGGTTCAGTGTCCAAGTGGAGGCAGGTGACGAGTGGTGTCCCCCGGGGGGCAGTACTGGGACCAGTGCTGTTTAACATCTTTGTTGGAGACATGGACAGTGGGATTGAGTGTATCCTCAACAAGTTTGCTGATGATACCAAGCTGTGTGGTGGGGCTGACACCCTAGAGGGAGGGGAGGCCATCCAGAGGGACCCTGACAGGCTGGAGAGCTGGGCCAGTGCCTTAAAGCTCCACCGCCCCTGCCATGAGCAGGGAACCCAACCACTAGACCAGGTTGCACAAAACCTCATCCAACCTGGCCTTAAAAACCTCCAGGGATGGGGCATCAACAGCCTTCCTGGGCAACCCATTCCAGTTCCTCACAACCCTGACAGTGAAGAATTTCTTCCTAATAGCCAACCTAAATCTCCCCTCTCTCTGTTTAAAACCATTACCCCTTGTCCTATCACTGCCTTCTCTGATTAAAAGCCCCTCCTTGGTTTTCCCATAGGCCCCTTCCAAGTACTGATCTTTAAGGTCCCTTCCAATCTTAATAATTCTATGGTTCTATGAAAGCTCCTTTAAAATAACTTAGAAAATGAAGCCTTATTGAAAGGAAGTTAGGTCAGGAAACTTCTGCTGTGTGGGCAGGGAAGGTGATTGCTCACCACCCACACGTGTGTTCATCACACGTTGGTCTGAGTCGTAAAATCTCAGTGTCGGGACACAGATTAAAAAGGACCAGATCAGAGACACGTGTTAATTACCTCATTTAAATCCCCCACAATATATCTTGACGCTCCTACAGCAAGGTCTGGCGCAGGCTGAATTCTTCACTTGTTTTTGTACCTGGGAAAAAACCGCTTTTGCTTGGCTCCGTGGTGGAGTCTCAGCTGGGCCAGGGGACTGAGGCTGCCCCGTCCCTGCCCCGCTGCCTGGGGGTGCGGCAGAGCCTGAAGCCGGCCAGATGGAGCACGGAGAGGGGTCTGGCAGCCTCCCGGCAATCTCAGCTCATCAAGAACTCGGCCCCTGCTGACAGGTTTGCAATTTACAAACTGTCCTGACTTGAAGAATCTCAGGCCCAAGCTGATTTTTCAGGTACTGATGTCAGGAAGCTGCATGGGTGCCCAGCAGAAAGAGAGTGTAGGGACTGGAATTTAGGATTGGGATTTGTCCTCTACCCATCCAGGACGGGCCACTGTCCTGGCGCTCCCAGGCGCAGGGACCTGCCGCGGCAAGCAAGGGCAGCGCCAGGC